CCATTTCGATTGATATCCATCTGTTGACAATACATTTAACTTACTAAATAATTTGAGCTTAATTTTTTCAACATAAAAAAAAACAAATGTTCAATTTAAAGACTTCGTAACGCTCGTTCTTTTGATAACCATATTTTAAAATTTCATGTAACTTATGTATAATTAAACGAAATACCACTTTCAAAACCGGCGGCAACCCTCTTAAAAATTATTTTCGAACTAAAATTTCCTTAAATATTTTTCGTCTAACATTGTTATGAATATTTCAAGTAACTGATGAATTAAGTGGAAATTTATTTTTTAAACCCTCCTATATATAGTTCTTAAATAAAGGATTTTAAACACATTTCTAAATTTTCAAACTAAGTTGGGGTATTCACAACGGTGTCGTAGGTGTCGTACTGTTGTATGTCATAAACTTTAAACGCCTGAAAAAATATATTAAGGGAGTTCGCAAAGTACCAGCAAAGTCATATCTTGAATTTTCGCAGTGTTAATAGTTAGTTGCGGTTTCAAGTTCTCTAAACATTTATTTATGCTTTTAAAGTTTACGTCATAGAACATTACGACACTTACGACACCGTTGTGAATCCCCCAATAATTTCTTGAAGCTTTTTCATTTGACATCCATCGTTAATATTTCATATAACTTGGGTATAAAATAGTTCAATTAGACTTCTCAAATAGATGGCAACCCTATTCAAAATATTTCCAAACTACTACTTTCTTAAACCTCATTTGTAGGACACCCATATAGCGATACCTTATTCACTTACCAAATTCTTTTAATTAAAATTTAATTACATTTTTTTAACATGTGGCAACGCTCCTATACGTAGCTAAGTTATAAAGCCTTTTCGAAACCATTTCGTGTGGTACCCATATTTAATAATTGATTTAACTTTCTAATTAATTTGAGCTTAATTTCCTAACAGGTGGCAACTTTTTTCGAAAAAGTAAAACCTTTTTGAACAACCACACCCTAAGCCCTTTAATTTGGTACCTCACTTTTGAAAATCGAACTGACGGTGCGGATCTGTAGCTCGTTTCTGTAACAATTCTCTACCAAGGCGAATCCATATATGAATTCGCCGCCGTTTTCTCTACTGCTAATGAGTAGTATAGTATGACGTATATTCTCTACCAGTAGAGAAATAATCGGTAGAGAAGAGTTACAGAAACGAGCTGCTGAGGGCATTGATTAGTAAATAACTTGAGTTTAATTATTTAACAGGTGGCAACCCTGTTCGAAAAAATTAAATCAGTTTGCACCTCTAAAGGCCAAGTGCTTTAATTTGACACCCCATTTTGGAAAATCGAACGAACGATGCAGATCTTTTATGCTCCACAAAAAATGCCTTCGCATATTATATATATAGATTGCACATCTAGAGGCTAAGTCTTTTCAGTTGACATTGACGGTGCAGAACTGATGCCTGCGCTTGTTATAATTGAATATAGTAAATTTCTTAATAGGTTGCTACCCTAGTAGTGATAGAACGATACGACTAACGAGTACAGAATATCGATACTTTTCATGAGTACTGAGTAATATCGAGAACTCGATACTTTTTCACAAGTACTGAGTAAATATCGCGAATGCCGAAAAACAGACATGGGCACTTTTTTGCCCGCGCAGTAGCGAAAGTACGAGCGCGGGCTGGAGAAAGGGAAAAACAATTTACGGGAGGAAGGGTATGAAAAGTTGCGAAAAAATTATTTATATACCACCGACATCATGTTCATCGCAGTACGGCTGCGGTAATACTGACTTTGTATACCAAATACACAATACAAATATACACAATAAGCTATCGTTCGGACCTCGCTCCGATAGGAGTAGATTTGTTCCGTTTTGTCGAAAAAATTTTAAACCTAGTCCTCTACTTCGCTCAACTGAAAATCTGCTCCGTTTTGTTGCATCAACAAATTTACTCTTCAAATAGAAAGGAGGTGGGGTTTTTAATAGCAAACTAAAAGTTATATTTTACCTTTTTATCGACACGATAGTTACATTGGTGAGCTACAGCAACTTTGCAAATACACTTGAATTCGTGAATAGGCCCTCACAATCGCCCGATTTGAACCCGATCGAAAAATATTGCTCTGTCTAAAGTTCTGTAATTGCGTCATTGCCCACCGATGTAACAACTGTCCCGGTAAAGAAAGAATGAAATAACTTTTTATTAATTTTAACCAAGGCATTTTAACTTTAATGATAATTGCTCGCTGGATTAAGGCGCCTTTACACGGGTCGATTTTCTAGTAGTAGGTCTGCCAAACATACATAGCTATGAAGTGCCATATTGAGGATAAAAAAGTGCTAAAACGTGCCAAATAGAAAATTAAAAGTGCCAAAAAAGGTGTAATTCTCTTTAGTTCTTCCCATTAGCATTAAAATTAGACAAATTAAAACAAAAGCCCAATGTCAAAGTAAGATAAACCAGTTGTATACGCTATAGAAATTAGAAAATTTTAGTTGAGAAAAAGAAGTACACGCAAAGGATTTCACAAAATCCTGCAAAATTGAAAAATTCAATGCCATTTCTAGTAAAATAGTGCCAAAAATGGCACGGTTTGAGCCAAGTTGGCAGCCCTGATCGCCAAGTTTTTTATTTAAAAAAGCACCAAAATACTGGAAATAGCGCAATTTTCCCCAAAAAAAACACCAATTTTGTGTTGCTGTGCTTAAAGGTATTTTCGCATATAAAGCTGTATGTTCAAATATTTTAAGTAATCACACAATGAAACTTGTAAATATTTCCAACTATGCGCAGTTAACCAATTTAATAAATTTAATTTGCAAAATGTTTTTTTATTCGTAAAACAATTTCC